CGGTACTTGCCTGGGGCGCGCGCGCTGCGCGGGTCCCGCGGCGCTGCGCGGTGCGTGCAGCCTCTCGCAGGGCTCGTGCGCGTGTGCGCCGCTCGCTGCCGCCCTCCGCGCCCTCCTCCCTCTCGCTCGCTCGCTCTCCCTCCCCGTGCCTCGCTCTGCCTCTTCTGCTCCCCGTCTCCTCAGAGGCCGGGGACTAGAAGCCGGGTGATATACATACGGAGCCGGCCTTTTTTTTGTCCGCTTTAATCTTATTCGTTTCACCTTTTCACTGACCAGGAGACAGGACCGAGAGTTTATGCGGAAAGAAGGCGAGGGAGGAAAGGAGCCCACTGTTGCATAGTCAATAACATCCTTTTTATCAATGCGAAATACAATAGGGATGGCTTCGCCAAGGCACTCATTGAAAATCTCTTCATTATTTCGGGGCAAAATCAAGCGTTTATTCTGATCTCAGAAATGATGAAGGATGCTCCTCTGCGGGCGGCTCTCGGACTCGGGTTTTAGGGCTGACACAAAAATAAAACCGCGATCATGACACATCAAAGTTCATTTTTTTCTTTAATGAAAGCAACATTTCTTTACAAAAAAAAAAAAAAAAAAAAGAGAGAGAAGAAAAAAGAAAGAAAAAAGAAAAAAAAAAGCGCTTCTGTCACATTCTGTCACATATTTCATCCCTTTTCCCGCTGCAAGTTTCTCCCCTCCCTCGCCTCCCAATCTGATTATAAACTTTTATGGGAGCTTAGAAGAGGGTAATGCGACTCTCTTTCTTTCTTTCTTTCTTTCTTTAATAACAGTTTGTCCCTGCTTTGTCACAGCTAGGCTCCCGACCTAAGCGAATTTCAAACCTCTGGCAGAGGGGGAAGGTTTCAGGGAAAGGAGACTTGGGAGAAAAACTGCAAGCAAAGGTGTGTCACTGAAAAGCATGCGAGGAGGAGGCATGATCCCGGCGCAGGTTCCTTAAATGAAAAACAATATATATACAGAAAAAGAAGGATAAAAGGGGAGTCAGAGCGGCAGGAGCGGGGAGCTCGGCGAGGCCGCGGCGCTGCCGGCCTGGCCGCTAGATGGCAGCCGGATCCAGCGATTCCGCCCGCGCCGCTCCGCGCGGCCACCGGCGCCAGCACCGCGGAGCGGAGCGGAGCCGTGTGGAGCGGAGCGTAGTGAGGTGGAAGGGGCGCCCGCCTGCCCACCTCCCAGCAGCGCCCTCCTGCCCCCGCCCCCCCTCGGGTCCCCCACTGCTCCGCGCCCTCCGCGGGCGCGCAGGCTCCGCGGGCCTCGGCGCACGGGCGGCGGGTGATTCCCCGCCCGCACCGCGGCTCTCCGCGCCGCACTCTGCAAGGGGACACGCAGGCGCGACGCGGCGGGGTGGTGCGGGAATCCCGCCTTGTCTGGCCCCTCTCTCCCCCTGCGCTGCTCCCCCTCCCCAAATCCCGCTTTTCCCCCAGCGAAGCAGCGCGTCGCTTCCTGCTCCCCTTCCGCGGCGCTGCCGCCCCCCCGGGGCGGGGGGCGGCCTGGGAAAGGGGTCGGGGGGGACATAAGGGAGTGAGGAGTGAGAGCCGGGGAGCCAGGCAGCGAAAATAGCCCGAAGTGGGACCCGAGCGCGGGCAGATGTGAATGTGTGAGTGAATGTGCGCGCACACAAGCGCCTATGCTCCTTATTGCACACAGCGCGTTTTCTTCCGCACCATTATGAGCTCTTGCCTGCTTTCTGCAATTGAAAACAGACCCAGAAATCCCAGTTTCGAATATGAAAAAAAAAAAAAACTTTTTCACGGGGAGCCCAAACCATTGCCTTTTAATCCCCCTTTCCGCCTATCGCGATGCATCCTCCTCTTTTGATGTGTATGCACGGGTGTGTGTGTGTGAGAGAGCGAGGGAGACCATAGGCGACCCATACTAATCAGGTCTCAAAGTAAATAGCAGCGCGGGGCGATCTCAATGTAAATTGCGCTTGTCAGAAGAATCCCCTCTCCCTCCCTCCTTCCCTCCCTCGCTCCCCCCGCCTCGCTCCCCCCCTCTCTCCTCCCCCCTCCCCTCCCTC